CGCACACACAAACACACACACACACACACACACACACACACACTTCAACACAGCAACCACCAATTGTCCGTGCATCAGATAGCTGAATGCTACAAGCTGTGTGCATGTGCTGTTTATCCTCTGTTGGTGTATGTGTGTATCGTTGACTTAATTAGAGAGTTAAGCAGGGTGCCCCTCTGAAGGGATTAAGGGGGAAATTATCAGAATCTGGAGACTTAAAGCTGAAACCAGTTAAACGGAAACAGGAGGAGGGAGATCAGGGCTCAGAGGAGAAAGGAGTTTGAGAGGCAGTTGTGCTGTTTATATACACACATTCACAGGTTCATTTGTGTAAATTGTCCTCTTGAAGTCACACTCAAGCACTCAAATTAGCTTCAAGGTGTACAAGCAATTCTTTCAACCTCTCAAAGCCACTATTTGGATGTTTTTGAATCATAGACACTGTGTTTGGGTGCAGGAGAGGTTTTATGGATATTCTATGATACTACTGTAAGCGACAGAAATTCAGACAGGCAGGACAAAGAAGACCAAGGACAAAATCGACTCTCCTGACCTGAGGATTGACAGAAAGGAATTGCATGTCACTCATGTGCATCACTTCCTTTATGCTGTGGCCGTGCATTCAAACTGCGAATTAACAACATAATGAGAGTGATAGTTATCTGACCCATGGGTTTACCTCACAGCCACTGTGAGACGCCATGAATCAACTGGCCTCTATCCTCTGCAGTGAAGCCATTTCCTGTGTAGGATGGATTTCCTGGGTAATGGATGCAGTGTGTCTGACCTGGGAAAAGCTTTGCAGCTGATGGATTGACACAAATGGTTAATACTCACAGCTTTGTGGGGTTTAATATGATCATTAAAAGGTGATATGGTTTGTCTTAGAGTGGTCTTATTGGAAAAATGTGTGTTTTTCCTCCGATCAATATGGCAAGAGGTCAACAGTCTTTATATGATTCATTTGATTGTTTTAAAAGAAATATTTTTTGAGGAAAAGTTTCTGCGAGAGCTGTTGTTTTTCTCTTTATTGTATTCTGCAGAAACTCATTACATCTCATAATTAACTCTCAGAGAAGTCGTCTTCATCATTGATCTGTGCTTTTGGTCAATAAGGCTATTTTAGACCATCCTGCTGCTTCTATTGTCTGAGGATTGAATGTGTTCATGCATCTCTCCATGCACACAGTTTATGTGTGTGTTGTTTTTGTTTGTGTGTGTGCATAGTAATCTTTGGTGGGAACATCTGTCTCTCAGAGATAACATAACCGGGGAATTAGCCATGCTGTCTTACAACAGAGCATCACATCTCACTATTACTGCCTCCTAAATTATACCCTATTACACCTCTGTGTGTGTGTGTGTGTGTGTGTGTGTGTGTGTGTGTGTGTGTGTGTGTGTGTGTGTGTGTGTGTGTGTGTGTGTGTGTGTGTGTGTGTGTGTGTGTGTGTGTGTGCACGCAGGAGTGTGTAGGCATTGTGCTGACAGTGTCATGTCCTTGGGCGAATGTGCCAAGTTTAAGAGTATCACTGAGCCCACTACCTCCTCTAAGCCTTAAATCCATCGTAGAACAGAATTCACAGTTATTTCTACATAATACAAGTCCTACACAAACAAGTCCCTCTTCAACAAAAGAGTCAAGCGCACAGTAAAGAATAAAATAATACAACAACTGGTGTTTCATAGGATAAAAAATGCTTTTCTGGTTCAGAAATGTATACAGTAATATATGCTAAAGCTCTAAACAGCTTGAAGCCACTTATCTTTTCATATATTGCACCTGCAGCAACAACAGTGTCTCTTGACAGATTACTCTTTGAACTGTTCCTTTATGGGAGTTCAGTAGCTCACTAAAGTTAACAAAGTGACGCACCAGTGTCAAATCATCAAACATGTAGAATTCTATATGATCAAATGTAATGACTTTGTGAGGACATCTGACCTGTTTTTAATGCATTCTAGTCTTAAGCAGCTCAATCCTTTTCAACGTTATTTTGACTTATAACATTTGAATGTCATTTGGTGGATCAGTAGAATAGTTTAAATGTTATCCACGCTGTTAGTATAACTACTATTCCAAAGAGGCACAGAGATTCAGTGAAAAGATGTAAATTGGAGTGGAACAACCCAGTATTGTATGTCACACTCTGACACGACTCAAGAAAACTTTTAATGAATGTCACTGCCAGAGAAAAGGTATGGGAAGGGCTTTCTCTGTGTTATAATCCTGCAAAGCACATTGTGCTGTGAAAGTCTGTGCTGTACAACAGCATTCGAACATGTGAAAGATGTAGACTCTGAATGAGAGGAATTGAGAGGACGAAGTGTAATGGTTGCTTTTTGTTCGGCACAGTCAGAGAACAGCCGGGGGAGCTGAACGCAGCCCCACTGACCTGGTTGAATCAAAGAGAAGGGTAAGAAGCGAGACCACAAAAAAGAAAAGAAAGGGAGAGAGCAAGAGATGGGAAGTGTCTCATTTATACAGCATTACAATTTGGGTCGATGGATCGCTTCAGTAGCCGTGAGTGGCTCTTTTTTTGCTCAATGCAATCTATACCCACAATCTAACAATCAAATGTGGTGCCAATAGAGGTGATCTTGCCCCAGCAGACAGCTTTCTGTGACTGCTGGGGTATTTGACTGAGTGCCAGCTTTAGTTTTTATACCTCATTAATTCACAGGAGCGATTGACTGAGGAAACCGCTTCTTCACGATCATAAATCAACTTACATTCCTGCGTGCGCGCACACACAACAGCAAAATATGAACACACCAGGGGGAGAATCTCAGGGCTTAGGTAATGATTTAATCAGTCACTGACAGAAAGTACAGTGATATTGTGATTACTAATTTCCACATGACCCCTGTGTGGATGACTCTGTGTGTGTATGACTTACAATTTTGCGTTATAATAAAGTAAAGGTCCCAAGCACTCCATATTCAATGGTAAATTTGCCTTTAAAAAAACATTCTTTGTGGGGTTTTTTTTTGTTCAAGTCTGGAAATTGCTTTTAAGCTTTTTGCTTGTGCATGTGGCTGTTCTCCCCTTTAGGCTGTGTGAGTGAATTTAAAAATTCTGAACTGGAGAGAAGATGGAGGAAAAACTGGAAACGGTTGATGTTGTATCATCTCCTCGATTATCAGTATTAGAGTCCTGAGAAGTTGCAGCACATTTGAGTATCGCTAAATTAAACTCTGGGATAAGAACAGAGCAGTTGTGTGTGTGTGTGTGTGTGTGTGTGTGTGTGTGTGTGTGTGTGTGTGTGTGTGTGTGTGTGTGTGTGTGTGTGTGTGTGTGTGTGTGTGTGTGTGTGTGTGTGTGTGTGTGTGTGTGTGTGTGTGTGTGTGTCAGAGAGCGGGAGAGGTAGAGATAGAGAGGTTTGATGCTGTAACAGCTGCTAATTATTGCTGCTCTATATTTCACACAGTCTGTTTGATCTCCCGTCCTGTGGAGAGAGATAGGGATTCTCTGTCTGTTTCTCACAAACTCTCACTTACACACACACACACACACGCACGCACGCACGCACGCACGCACGCACGCACGCACGCACGCACGCACGCACGCACACGCACACGCACACGCACACACACACACACACACACACACACACACACACACACACACACACACACATACAAGCTCAGGGGTCATGAGGAGGAGAAAGAGGAATTGTGCTCTAATTACTGAATCTCTGCAGGGGTTGACTTATATTTCTAGCCAATACCTCAGGACTGGTAGTGTACATTTTGTATCTTGTTTTTGTGTCTGTATTTATGTCACCCCTTGCTGTAGCACCCCCGCCCCGTGTGCTGGGCTGTGTTCACTGATATCATGGAGGGCAAATCAATCCAATCTCTCAAAGCACTCTGGGTAGTCCAAGTCCATAGACCATCTGGATGCCGCTCTGTTCTCTTCTGTGTTCAGCTCCCCGAGTGCCGGCCGCTGCAGTGATCAACTGTTTGGCAAGCAGCTTTAATACATCTGCGCCTTCACCAATCACCAAGCATGGATGCATAGCAACAGTTGCTAACCACCATAACCTTTGGCAAGACATGCAAGAAAGAAGCTCATCGATGTTTCATTAATGATGCAAATAGGTTTCACTTTTTTTTTTTTTTACCTTTACAAGTTTGATATTAAAGCACAACACGCGCTTCAAGATTTTCTGGTGCAGATGTCTTAGAACTGGATATTTTTTGCTTTGGGAAACCCCAGTACAATGAACCAAAGGTCAAACTGGACGTTATGATTAAATGTGGTCAAAGAAAAGTGCTTCTTTGTACAAAAAGATTTATCTGTTTGGCATCAAAAAAGGACTAATAGCACACTTTTAGAACAAAATATGGTGCTTTTTAAAGGGCAGCATTCAACTCTGTGACTGACACAATGAAAACGCTTTCACACTATTAAATAAATTGCTACACTATCAAATGTCACCATTACTCTTTCTTCAAACTCTCAAACTGGGGAGATTCATCTTGAGATGCAGGGTTGTGAGATGTGTAGGAAATAGGAGAATTCTGCTACATAAAATTATGTTTAGTTTTTTTGCAATCTTTGCTTTTTTTGTGAAATACTGTGTAGTTTTACCTCCTCTGACATATAATAATAATAATAATACATTAAATTATTAGAGGCGCCTCTCTGGGCACTCGAGGACACCGTACAAAAAAAATAAAAATAAAAATAAATAAATAAATAAATAAATAAAAAACGTAGTAGTCATATAAAACAGCCTGATGAGGGAAAATTCCTTTGACATGCTCACAACATGCACCGTGTGACAAGTGGTCATAAGCAGACATTGCTTCATATAAGGGGGTCGAGAACAAGAGAGGCTTGGAAACATAATCTCTTCCATAGACTCTTAGGAATTCTGGGCCACACTTTGAGAAGTGGTAAACCACACAGTATTAATCTTTTATGTGGAATGTGTTGCAACATGTTGCACGATCAACATGAATCAGACAGAATAACAAAAATGCATTGAAGCCTGTTTATTTTCACCCAAGTTTTAATGTAACAGATTTGAGTCATTCAGTGCTGTCTCAACAACTTATTTGTTAAATGCTGTGTGAAAAAAACAAATCTTGTGTCACACATCGATATGAAAAGTTGTTGAAGTGTTTGTATCACTGAAGCCATTGAGTGCGGAATAAGTATTGTACTACCGGTCAAGGTTAAATTCACTTTTTATTTTATTGTTTCCCATGATTCTAATATTGTCACTCACTGTCAGAATATTTACACTATAGAGACAAAACAGGTCTTTACATGTTTCAGATATGGAAATTAGTTGTTGTCCTTCCTTCTGTGTATGTGTGTGTGTATGTCAGTCCAGAATTATCTATCTTACACACATGAATACAGTATACACCAAGGTTAAAATGGCTCTGTTATGCCCCCTGGTCCCTAGAACATTATTTATGTTTGTTGAAAGTCACACTCTAACTCAGATAACCTATATGAAATGGAGATAAGGGGAGAGTATTATCACTCTCTCTTGCCCCTCTGTCCCTGGCATGAAGGATACTTCAAAAGGCAGCTGGTCTGTCTGTGGTTCAGAAGGAAAGAGAGAGGATGACACAAGCCCAGCTTGTCTTTGAATAGCAGGTGCACCTTTCCCTTTATTCTGGGTCTGAATGAGGAATGATGGAAAAAGCAAAGGATCAAAGTCTGTTTTCTCACTGTCTGCTACACAGCAGAGGCTAGATGGAGAAACAATTTTTCATTCGAAAACACTCAATATAGTTGGGATGTTTGTGTGTATGCATGCGTGTGTGCATGTGAGGGCATATGTGAGTAAGAATTGGAGCTGATGCTAGTAAAAGCACTGACACATCCCCATTTCAAATAACAGGCTTTTATCCAAACCAAAAATTCCCCCTCTCTCTCTTTCTTTCTCTGTCTCTCTCCCTCACTAGTCTGTGTTGCCAAGGAAGATTAATAAACATGGCAGCTACTCTGTAAAAATCACAATGCCTTCTGTTGAAACCTCACTGGCCATGTTCTGTCCATGAAAGGCTGAGGGTTCAAGGGTTGCAGGGCTACAGGGGAGAGCGAAGCAAGTGGGGTCGCGTGAAAAGCGTGGGACTGGGGCAGGAGAGGGATGGGATGGTGGGACAACAGGATGGAGGGAAACAGGGAAGATATGGAGAAGGGAGAGAGGTGAAGATGATGAGAGAGGGATGGATGGAGAGGGGGCAGGGGATGAGTTAGCTGAGCCGGGTGTGGGTGGATGGCAGGAGAGGGGGATGAGGTGGAAGAGGATGAGGATGAGGGTGGCATGGAGAGGGCTGTGTGTTGTAAAATGATATGATGGAGGCTGGAGAGAGGGGGAGATGGTGGAAGGGGGGTGAGGTTAGGGACTCCCAAAGCCATGGGTCGAGTAAAGTTCTCTTGGGGGGTCACATGTGGAAGTGGGAGACTGACCTGGAGGGTGTGCTGTGCTTGCGTTTGCATCGTGTCTGTGTGAATTGACTGAGTTTGAGGCTGTGAAGGGTTGTGCAAGGCTGCAGGTGTGTAGCGTTCCTTTGAAGTACCACAGTTGTCTGTCCGTGCTGTGTGTGTGTAATTTGTCTCTATGTGTGTATCTGCTCTCTCGTGCGTCTGTTCCAGGACTTTCTGCATGTGCTCTCTCGCCTGCTCTTGCAGGAGACGATATTTGCCCATCTCCTCAGCAGTAAAGCTGATTGGTGAAGCTGTCTTCCCACCTGTCTGTTTGTCATCCGTCCTAATCTGTGACAGGCAGAGATTTGGCAAGGTGCTGGGGTTTGACTCAGCCATATGACTGTTGACGACTCCTCCAGGATGCCCTCCACTGCCCTTAGCTTCCTCTTCCTCCTCTCCTTCCTTCCCCTGACTCTTCTCCAGCAGCCCTTTTTTCCTCCTAGCCTTTCTCTGAAAAGCAGGTAGTTTCCCTATGAGAGGGAGCAACATCCTGGCTGGTTTCTGAGGCAGAGACTTACTGGGGGATAGTCCTGGAGGTGCACTTGACCTACTTGTTGTGACAGGGGTAGAGGGCTCATGGCCAAGGTCAGACTTTGAATTTGGCTCCTTTAGCTGACAAGGACTTGTGTCACAATTGTGCACATTGAGGCCTGGGACAGTGGGAGCTAAAGAGGATCTGTGAGGGGAAGAATGAGAGAAGGAGCTAGAGGTAAGACCGGGTGGAGTGGACATGGGGTTGCTCTGCTTCTTTGCGTCCTGAGGGGCCTTAGATGAAATTCCTGGAGCTCCTGAGGACGTCCTGCAGGAGCTAACTGTCAGTCCATCCACAGTGACTCCAGAGCAGGTACTGCTCCTGCTCCACTCCCAGCTTAACTGGGACATGCTGGTGGTGCTGCAAGGGCTGCAGGAGCGCGGGCTGTGACATCTGCTGGCCCGTGTGTTGATCACACTCTGGGGGCTGTATGTCTGCCTACTTGTCCACCACTCAGGGCTGGAGAAGTGTCTCGAGCTTGAGTGTCTGGTACCTGCAAATTTCCACACACAGCCTGGGCTGTCTCTGCTGTCTGCTGCTGTCCTGGAGCCTGACGTAGATGTGTGTGACCCCCTGTCTTCCCAGCTGTCGCTGCTGCCCCATGTCCATCTGTCCATGCTGCACCTATCCCATTCTATATCTTCTGTGCTAAGATGTCTGCTTCTCCTGCCCCAGCTGCTAGGACTGGGGCTACACCTTGCCAACCGATCCCACTCCACTGCTTTGTTTCTCGATTTCCACCCAGGCCTCGGCCTGCCCTCCACGCTACCTCCAGGACAGCTCCCTCTCATCCACTCCCACTGTTCTGTATCGGAAATCAGGCCCCTGTCTCTGCAACCTGAACGCCCTCCCACTTTCCTGCCCCTCTCTTTCTCCTCCCAGACTCCACGATGCCTCAAACTCTTCCTCTTACTATGAATGAATTTCCTGTCCCTGTGGAGGAGTTTTCTCTTACTCGCCGGGCTGCAACCACAGCTGTTGTCAGGGTAACAGCAGTCAATGAAACTCCTGGGGTTGCTATGGTGACCCCTTTCCCAAAACAGCTTTGAGTTACATCCTGGTGAGAAGGGGTATACGGAGAAGTGAGATCGCCAGGGAAAAGTCACTGCATCTCCGTCTCGCTTTCCCTCCCCCTTGGTGTCTCTGTCTGCTGTGTGTCTGGTGAGCTGGGAGTAGGCACTGCAGTGCTCTTGCTCTGCCTGCTCTCTGTCTGGCTGTGACTGGGATTCAGTGCTGTGGCTCCTGTGAGGCCTTCTCTTCCTGACAGAGACAGATACTGGCTCAGCCTCACATCTCCCCAGGAGACAGCTGCTCCCTGCTCTCTGCACCCTCCTCCTCCTCGTCTCCCCTGTCTCCCCTTGCCTCCTTTTCTTCCCACAGCTCCCTCCAGTTTCTCCTCTCCTCTCTCTGCCAGAGAAGACTGTAGAGACAACACTCCTCACTTTGCACCTTACTGATTGGCGCTTGTTTGAAGCTTTTTCCTTCTCACCCCTCTTCCTCTTTCCCAGCTTGTGTTTCTTTGTGCTGGCTTTCCTCTTTTTGCGTGACACTTCTGAGACACCCACGTACGGCTGTGGAGCACTGGCACACTTGCACATTGTCTCACTCCCACACTCACACCTGGACGGGCTGATGCACATCCCCTGTGTGCCAGCCTGGATGACAGACTCTGATTTACAGCTCAGGGCTGTGATGGCGCTCTCCCTGATCCCTCTCGCACCCCCTAATCTGCCTCCCAGAGGATTCTGGGAGTTTGTGTCAGAGCTGTCACTATGAGCAGGGTCAAATGGATGGCAGACTGCCCTCACACAATTCTCCATACTTATCGTGCATCCTCCTCTTTCTGGTCTTGTTTCTGATGATGAAAGGTTTTTGTTCTTTAGGAACAGGTGTTCTTCTGTCTCCACATCGATATGTTGCTCTGCCTTGAAATTCTCCTCAGCTTTTCCCTGTCTGTGTGCTCTCAGCTCTTGTCTTGTCTGTCTTTGTAAACAAGAATGAGCGTCTGGTGTAAGAATAGCTGGCACACGTGGAGTTGATTCATCGGAGGGAGCACACGACTGATTTTGTTGTGACTCCTGCAGATCCTCTGTCAGTTGCTCTGGTCGTTGGGGGTTCAAGCAGAGTGGGTTGCAGCTGTAACAGATGTGTGGCTGAGACTTGGTGAACTTAAGTAAATTGACAGGCCATCTCAGACAGGTAGAGCCATTTTTCCCCAGCACACGCATATACTGACTTTCCTCCCTCCCTCCCTCTGTTTCTTGCTTTCTCTCTGTCTCACTATCTGTATGTTCAATGTCCATATGTGCCCCTTCTAGTGCTGTGCCCCATATGGTCACCTCATTTTGTGATGGCAAAAATAGTGAATTGTGGCTCAGATTATCAGGTGCTGCTGTGGAAATAGGTGAGTGTTCTTCCACTGTTTCTCTTTTTTCAATCTCCTCCTCTTCTCTGGCATCCTCTCTGGGGATTGACACCATGTCACTCAGTCCAACGCTGTCAGGGCTGGGCTTTTCATTCTCACTGTGTTTCCTCTCCTCTACTTCCCCAATTTCCCTGTCAATATCTTCCATTATTCCCTTTATCCTTTCTTTCATTTGTTCTCTCTTCTCTCTCTCCTCTTCCTCCAGGTCAGAGAAAACAGAGGCAGAAGGCTCAAGCCTGGGCCCCCTGCGTGAAAAGCAGAAGGACACCCCAAGCCTGCCTCCTACTCTCACCTGCCCAGGGAGAGGCAGCTGGGGATAAAAGCCCAGGCAAGATTCGGGGTTCTCTCCAGGAGGGCCTGTATTGGATGCGGGATGTGTGATTAGTGAGGACTCTGCTAGACCAGTGGCCAACGGCATTTGGGAAGGAGATTGGTATGGATCTTCTGGCAAGTGGCTGAGAGGCGCTGTCCTGGGTTGCGTAGGAGGGGGTCTCTGGGTGTGGTTGAAGGATTCAGGTTTGTCTTCTGGGCTATGGTCTCTTCGGTCAATGTCTCTATCTTGCTGCTGACTCACAGCCCTGATTGCACTCCTTAGTCCATAAGTCCTTCCTGGGACTCTGCAACAGAAAGTAATATGAATATTCTAGTTTGTTTTTTTATTGTTGATTTGACTTCACTTAAGCATGGCTTATTTTAATTAAATGTATTTAAAATCTATAAAATGTTTTTAAAATTGCTATATGAATATAAAAGCAAAGCTAATGCCATCATAAAAAGTCCTCAATAGCATAGATAGATAGATAGATAGATAGATAGATAGATAGATAGATAGATAGATAGATAGATAGATAGATAGATAGATAGATAGATAGATAGATAGATAGATAGAATAAAGAACCACAGAAAGAAAGACATAAATAGACAAACAACAGAAAAAAACCGAGGCATGATATTGGTAGTCATAGTAATGCTGTTCACATATCATCGCCTGATTATAGGAAAACACATTTAATTGCACAGGGAATAGGTGCAATCAAGTTGATTATTATGTGATGTATTGTTTTTTTATCGGTTGTTTTGATTGCTTTAAGTGTACAAACCTGGAGGCAAGTTTAATCACTCACTTTATTTACTACTTACTACAAAAAATATATACTTTAGCAACTATACATTCTTCTCTAAAACACCATCTCCTTCTACAAATCATCTACTCTCAAAGTGTCAGTAAGAATGTGTCTGCATGTGATATTTACTTCACCTGTGGCCTATCTAGGACAACTGAATGCACTCACATCTGTGGATGCATCCATCACATCTAAAAAACGTTGACTGGATGTGACGCAGTCTAACCCCTCTGGACTCCTGCCCCTGGTCTCATTACGCACACACACATACCCACACCGCCACAGACACACACAAAACTCCTCCCACTCACCGCTGAGTATCCTGTTGCAGCTGTGCGAGCTGGTGCAGGCGTCTGAGAGCCTTCTCCTGTTTGCGCTGGTCCTTCCATGATTTTGAAGCCACGTTGCGGGCAAACTCCCTGTGCTTGAGTTCCTTCAGCCTCTGCAGGAGATGAAAATTAAGGGGGATAGAGGGAGAGACAGGAGAAGTATGTGGAGGGCAGGAGATAGAGAGAAAGTAGAGAGGCACAAGAGTAGGACAAAGAGGAGAGAAGAGAGAGGGAGAGATTAGTTTTAGGAAGCTCTCTGCAGGCAGCTGTCTTTCAAACCATGCACATCAGTCAGCAGCGTTTGCAGATGTTCTCCACCAAAGCTCATGTCCAATTAACTCCATTCAGCCTGGAAGAAAGAATCTTTCCTCCAACACACAGCTTGAGAGCAAACACAACCCAAGTGGTGAATAGCATATTACAGACACAGTTGAGATGAGTGACATGAGTGATTTAATGATGATGCTCTTACCACTGAAATTTCTAAAATGTTCAAGCCTTCGTCAGTCATCACAGCTTAGTTTGTCAAAACTTTTGATCCAATGACATCTGCTTTTGAGCCAAAGGCATTGATTTACTGATGCTGAAATTACACATCACCAAACACAATGGCACGGCCACTTATCACTGGCAAAATAACCATGTGGGTCACCATAAAGGCTAGAGATTTCAGCTGGGAAAATGCTTGTCCATTGTATGTGCTGTGTGTGTGTGTGTGTGTGTGTGTGTGTGTGTGTGTGTGTGTGTGTGTGTGTACACCATAGTAAGAGTAATTTTATTTTGATCAAATCGGTGGGTCTTCACAGTGCAGAAAAAAATAAAATAATTATCTCCGTTTTGTGTGTGTGTGTGTGTGTGTGTGTGTGTGTGTGTGTGTGTTTTACGTGAGTGTGCTTGTGTGTATTTGTACAAAACTATGTGTCCATAGCCATAGGTGCACCAATCCTCTCAGGGAAACAATGATTCATGCCTCTCTCTCCGGTTTCCTTTTCTGACATACTTTAATCCCTCCTTTATCCATGCTTGGCAGGTGTGTGTATGTGTGCATACTGGTGTGTTTCTTTTTGTCTGTGTGTGTGTCTGAGGGCTAAGGATGGACTGAGGACTTTGGGAATAGCCGCAGTATCATGCACTATCCCTCCTATCTCCCGTCTTATCCTCTCTCACTTCCCAGTATATTTTAGCTACCTCCGTGTGCAATCCACCCATGGCTTATAAATTCAGGATTTGTTGTTTATCTTATATATTCGAACTTATCCGGCAGTATAAATTGCAACAGGATTACACCACTCTCACTTTTAGATTATGTTACGCTATTATCCACCCATACAGTATGTATCACACACACACGCACACATGCACACATCAGATTAGCCCCTCAGACATCAGATTTATTTATACACTCACTCTCTTTCACACCCAGATCTTATGCTGGAGCTGACAGTCGTCAGGTTAATCTCTGCTGAGTCTTACACAATCGGCTGTCTTTTTACATTATCACTCAATGCTTAACATCCCACCGTCAGCTCACTAAAGACAGCATTAAGTATTTGCCAAAGGAGCAGCACTTGTGGGTTTGTATCTTAAACATACACGTTATACAGTATAGGTGTTTATGCATTGTAGATGTGTGTGATCATATATATATATATATGTGTGTGTGTGTGTGTGTGTGTGTGTGTGTGTGTTTCCTAGTGTGCGGTAAGGAGCTTTGAGAGGCTTTGATGCCAAACTCATTCTATGGGAAATATTAATCATGTTCAAGCAGAGAGGCATACATAATGAACTACTGCGGACAGAGCCAGGAAAGAGGAGGAAGAAGGGAGGAGGAAAAGATCAGAGTCGCTGTACTGTAGCTGTCCATGGCAATGACTATAAGAGAGAAAGAGAGAGAGAGAGGTAGAGCAGTCTATAATAGATGGAATATATGAAGATGAATTTCTACTCCTTCCTCTAGCATTTGTACTCTGCCAGGTTATTGTTCTCTCTTAAAAACAGGTCCCACTGCAGGCAAACCTGTAGCTATATTTAGAGCCAAACAAAAATATTGCGCACAGAACCATTTCCACTGAGCACACAGGGCAGAGATATTTCCGTTTTCCCACTTTAAAGCGGATACTTTTGTCTTCAAAGATGATGTCATGTCCCCAACAGTGGGAAGTGAAATTACTCCGGCTCTCCAACATGCCAGTCTAGCTATGTGCTGTGAAGCTCAATCCGTCTGTCAAAGCCTCGATCAATATTCCTTTAGATGTGTTAAGAAGTGCTCAGGCTGAGGCAACTACGGATGAGTCAGAGTTGATTCATATCCACCAGGGCCTTAGAATGAGGGATGATGTATTCTTAGGTAGCATGTGAGGGGCCATGCTAATGGGCTGATTGCTCTTTTATTTAAAAGTGAGGTGTAATTCAGTTGTAATGAGCTATTTCTGTAATCAGCAGTAAATGCTGATAAAGCACTGTATTCAGACATGTTTATCCCTGAATCGATGACAAGGAAAGGAGACAGAGCAAACGCAATCAGCTTCTATTCTCCAAAGCCAATACTCCTGCAGGGAAGCTGTCTTCAGCTAGAATTTCATCTGCTGTCTGCTCGGTAGGCAAAGAATACATGCATGTCTGTATGCATGTGTGTGTGCGTGTGTGTGTGCGTGTGTGTGTTCTTACAGTGCCAGTGGCTACTGTCAGCTCAGTGCCTCATGCAGCTCATTTCACGTGCCTGCCGCTGGCTAAAACAAAGCATTAACATTGGCCTGCAGTTGCTTCAATTCATTTTCAAAGAACAATGACAGTGGAGGAACAGTCTTATTGAATGTTTATTTCATGTTGCACAGTGTGGGCGTTCAGAAGTGGGTAGCGGCTTGGCTTGGTTCAGAGATTGCCTCTGTTTGCACGTCCTGCAGTGTGTGGCCGGGTAAGTGCATGTCTGTATGTTTTTGTATGTGAGTGTATGTCTTGGCATGACAACAGATCGCTGCAGGAGAATGTGCTATCAGCAGAACCTTCAGCTTGTTAGTCCAGAGTGGAGGTTGCGTATGAAAATGGATGTGAAAGCAGAATGCAGGAGAAAACCTGCTGCCGGGCCTTTTCCTAATGGTCCATTGGCCTCATCTTGTCCAAACCGGAATAATAGAATCATACTTGAGCTGTGACTAATAGCTCCATGTTTTATTTGGTACAGAATATTTATTTTTCTTTTGAGGGAAGTACAAATTGAAGAATAAAGTGAATTTTGTAGCAGCATGCCTATGCACCAGATACATACAGATCAACTGCTCTAAATTTTAAACTTAAGAAAAAATAATTTTCTATTATTATAAATTGGAGATTTGTAGACTAAGTAAAGCTATGTGCACATTTTCCTTTGTTTTGCAGGTTGCTTAGGTTACTTTTTTATTTTCACTTAAATTGTATTTTTGTATATTTATTGTAACCTAGTTATTCACATGGTTCAACTACTGGCTCACTTTGCTCTGATGCAGTATTAATCACTAATGTTCTGTTTGGGGTCCTGGAGCCCTTGAACCTCTTTAACAGCTCAAAAACACAAATATCACTTTATCACCTTTATACTTTCTGACTTTTCCTCAGGTCTCCGAGAACCCAAAAATGAAACATGGTCAAATACAATAGGTTTTCATGTGCTCTATATCTGTGATTATGGTTGATAGTACTTTCTACATGGCAGTATTCCTCCCAAATCCCAGATAAGTCTACTTTGATTGTAAACATTAAACAGTTCCCTATTTGTAGTAATTGCAATACTTTTAGCTAATTCCTGTCTTTTATTACGTTCATCAAATTCACAGCTCTTCAGAAACCTATGGGTGACGTCACGGAGACTACGTCCATTTTTAATTATACAGTCTAAATCTAAATTAGGTTTTTATAATGTTAGAAGAAAGAAAAAAAAATGTTTAACTGCAATGATCATTCTCACACATACAGCAGCTCAGTCTATGGGACCCCAAAACAAAATCAAAGGTCAACAAAATACAAGGGTTAATACTCACTTATTATAGTAAAAATAGTACCTCTATTTTTATTTCATGCTGTAATACTGCATTTTAATATAGTTCTAATTTTTCTTTAAAACTGCTGTTACTTACTATATTTCCCTGCGTGGGATCAATAAAGTTTCTTATCTTTTCATATATAAAATATAAGCCTGTTCACATGGAAATCTAAAGTATAAATGCAGTGCTGTGTGTGTGTATATATACTGTATGTGTTTGTGTGTGTATCTGCCTCAAGTTGGGGTATTCTATCACTGTGTGTGTTCTTGTAAGAGATGATGCGGTTGTCACACTCCTACTGTTACCTGCTGTGAAACTGTACCCAATGGGTAGATTGACATGGAAATGTAAAGGAGCTTTCCATCAACACGAATAATGCTAACACACCCAAATCCCATGACAAGAGATCATAAAAATGTCAGCTTGTGTGTCTGTTGGTGTGTGTGTGTGTGTGTGTGTGTGTGTGTGTGTGTGTGTGTGTGTGTGTGTGTGTGTGTGTGATATAGCAGTATAGCAGTAGTAGTGCCGCATCCCATGTACCTGTTTGTGTGCATGGTCGTAGGAATTGATGTGGTTGTCAAACTCCTGATGTCTGAGGTACTGCTTGTGACACAGCTCGCAGTAGAAAAGAGCCTTCAGATCCTCCACTGAGCAGCCCAAAGCCCTCTCTGCACGCTCCTGGAGAAAGGGAGAAGAAGAGAATGAGAGTTGGAGGGATTGAGGGAGAGAAATGAGAGAGAGAGTCAAGATAGAGGAATAAACAGACAGAGACATAAAGGGTTAGGGGGCAGAGATGGAGAGCAAGAGGAGTCGAGGGAGGGGGTTGAAAGAATGGCAGATTGTTAGCCATTTAGAGCAAATCTGCATCCCAGAGACATCAGCAGTAATAGCCTCTACATGTGCTCTGCATAAAACTGTTAAACGGCTTCCCATTAAAGTACGCTGCCTTTGCTGCTGCTGCTGGAGGTTGGACAAAGGCACCAGAGCCCTGTGCTCATGGCAACTTGAGCCTAGGGACACATTTAATACAGCCACTATAATGAAAACCTGCGTATGTACTGTAATGGCAAATAGTCTAGAGTTTAACTGTGGACAGACAAAAAATTTAGCATCTAAAAAGGCACAACTTTTGTACACTGGCAAAATCATGCATGTGTAGAACAGAAAGTTCCAGACAAATACACATAAAAAGGTGTCTAAATAGCACGTGGACGGACAAATACACATACACATGCACTGCGCAAATGGCACATGGACCTCAGGGGATAAATCGCTTGTCTGCATGCTCACATCAGCTAGAGGGCTTTTTTTTTGGGTCCGAGGACATGCACCGTGTTGTGTACAATAGTTGTGTGCGCTTGCTTGTGTATATGAGTGTGTGTTCAGGGGTGTGCATTCATGCCATGCTCTGCTTCAGAATGTAATTTCCCTGAGGCTGGGGGCTGCCAATAAACACTATTGAATTCTGTTCTACACTGACATGATGGGAATTTAATTTGAGGTTGTCACTTCTCTCTCTCCTTCTCTGCTTCTTTCCCTCCCTCTGTCCATCTTTCATCACTCTTTCTCCCTCTCTTTGCTAGCGCTCGTGCTGCCCCAGCCTTTGTTTCCTCCTTTTCCAACTGAGTCTTGTTCTCCTTCTCTCTAGTTCCCCTTTTATCCCCTTTATTTGCCTTTTTCTCTCTTTTTGGCATGCTCCTTTCTGTTTGGTGAGCCCTGGGTCATGCAGTGACAGAGTCTATTGGCCCCAATTTGCTTCAGTAATATGCCTGCACACAGCAACAGAGGTGAGAAGAAAAGAGAGGGAGGATGGGAATGCAGGCAAGAGTAGAAATGACCCCTGCCTGCCCTCATAGACACGCACACACACACACACACACACACACACACACACACACACACACACACACACACACACACACACACACACACACACACACACACACACACACATACATAGAGACACATAGAGTTACATAGAGTCTAACAATCCCTGTTTGTACATGCCATCGCTTATCACACGTTTATATGTTACACCCAGGCACACACACATACACACACAGAAGGAAAAAACTGTCGACCAGGCTGACATGACTCTCCTATACTGAATTCAACAGAAAGGTAACTAATATACATTGATCCTGTGTTGCTCTGTGTGTGTGTGCCATAGTATTGATCTACCTTGCAGGCTTAAGTCACGACCAGGAAATGATCCAATCACCCAGAGCAGCCTTCCTTTGAGTGCTGCTTGGGTGGTGAGATTGAGATAATGAATTCTACCCATTTGTCAATATTTGGGCTTATGCAAGACTACATAGGAGCTTTGTACATGCACGTCTTCATATACTCATGATGTGTGTATATTTTTGCGCGAGCTTGCCTTTGTATGCCCTAACCCTTTCTTCTCACCTCTGTGTGTGTCTGTCAGAGTAATTATTTTGAACAGGGAAAAATATATACCCAAAGAGGGGTGTATGTATATGAGAAAAGGTGTGAAAGCATAAATGTGTGTAATTCCCCATTTCCCTGCTGAATTGTTTAATCAAACGAAAAATCAAAATGAGAGCTTTCATTTGCCTTAAATGTATATGCCGCATACGATCCCTGCCCTTATGCACCAACACAAAATGCACACACACATTCACAGAATCTACACATTCAGCACATCCACACAAATGCACACACACACACACACACACACACACACACACACACACACACACACACTTATGCATGCACAGTCACACACAGTCTGTCAACCTGATATACCAGTGCTAAATTAATCTAGACCTCAATTTACCTCACTGGCATAAATCTGTTTACAGAGAAAGCACAATTGATATCTGCAGACCCGAATGGACAGTGATTGTTTGCATGATTATGTGTGTGAGTGTTTGTGCGACGTTGTGAATGTGATTTTTTTTTTCTATTTCACTTATCCTCAATTTATGGGAGAAGTGCTATGCTATCCCTCTTTATAGCTGAAATTATGCCACAAATAAGAGTCGTTATGAACCATAACCGGAGTTTCAGACACACACACACGCATGTAATTCAATGGATCGAGCTCTTGTGGAAATGAACAGGTCACGCTTAAAGTGTTTTTTTTAACACGTGGTTTGTCAGGGTTTGAGAATGTGTGCACTGGAAACTAATGATATACAATATATTCATAAAAAAAAATCCTCAGAAAGAAAAAGTCTCTTGAGGAACCTCTGGGAGTTCTGCAGATTGAAACTGTGGCGGCACCTTTCTGATGCAATTACCCTGTCACTGCCATCGTGCCTATTCAAACTACCCTCTTGGTTTTTTGAATGTCTGACTTTTATAGCATATTAAGGGAAAAAATGTCCTTATTAGTTGTAAGCATACGGTACAGAGACTTATGGAGGTTCAGATAAACATAACCAGATGTTTTTCAGTATTCTTCGTCTGGCAATCTTGACCTGCAAGACTGCTGATCCACACAGAAAATCACAGACACACATTTGATAATATCTATATCTCTTGACTCTTCCTAACATCTTGACAGTAAGCTGACTGCAGTTTGTCAAGATAGAGGCTAGATTTATGTTTGAGGCCAAGTTTGTATTCGGAAGTATCTTATTCAAAATTACTGCCCAACTATTTTCAGAAACACGGATATAGCTCACCACTCACTACTCACTACTCACTACTCACTACTACTCACTACTATCAAACTGCAAATCATTTCACACCAAGAAAACAATACAACACAATCTATATGATAATTTGCTGTTCTTTTAAAAAAAGATAGGTCTAAGTCTTTTGTAAAACACAAATGCAATACATATCTGATTTAAAGCAAGTATAGTAGTCAAACATTTTGTGTTGACAGAACAAATTTCAGTTTGGGAGTTTGTTGGTTTAAGTGGTTAGGAAAAAAGCAGATATTGTAGAAAACACTGAATAAAGCTTACATTGATGCTCAGACTGATGAAGACAGAAGAAAATAGTCAGTAGGTGTCTTTTAATTTGCAGTCTGCTTGTAACCTTTATGTATGGTGTCTTGAATGGGATCAGTTCTGTTAAAGTTTTTACATAATTGATATATGATTTAACCAATTACATTAAACTTCAGCAACCTACAGTACTGTACTTGAGCTAAATTGTTTCACTCGACTCGCTGGTCACTTTCTGGCTGGTTGTAATTAAATATTGAACAGCATTTTCATGGATGGCTAGACTCAACCTAGAGAGTGTATGAGGGAGGACTTTTGATGCCAACAGACATTACAGTACAGTCACTTTGACACAGCATTTTGAGAGCTTTTTTCTTCCTTAATTTGATGTATTTTCTGTTAAAACAGGATGTTTGGATGGAACACAATGCAGGGAGAGATCATTAAATCTATAGACTTAAATAATGGGATGTCACTGCTGGAGAAAATGGCAGTTTTATAGTAATGAGATAACCCCTACACATAAAATTTGATTTTTATATAAAAATTCTGCAAATGTTTTAGTATTTGTTGAGTATTTGTGCAGGATTAGATAAACTGGTCTTTGTGCTTTTATCAGTATGTGTGGATAAGTGAATGTGACTACATGTGCATAGTCGAGCGGCGAGTACCATTTGTAGAAGAGTGTGAATTCTTTGTGCCTCAGACTTATTAACTCTGTTGGCTTGGACATACTGAGATGAAACTGATCACAAGTGATAATTGCTAACAGGATTGCAACACAAGTTTTAATTGCCATCTTGGTTCAGTATGAAATTCAAAACAAATTCAAACTAGCAAAAAATAGGCTGGAATAACACGCAGCGTGCATAATAAATCCACGATGAGAGAGTACGAAAGCCCAGTAGCAACACAACTGGTGGTAACAGATTCTCTCTGTTCAAATATATTACTGAAAAGAACTTCTACTGCAGGGGGTAGACAAAGTAAAAACTTTATGAATATGGCTTACTTTAAGGAAACCATTGTTACAGTAATTGCAGCGCTCATACAAACACTGTCCAGACCAGGTTACATGCCAATTAGCCCAGGTCTAGGTTATGAACCCTCTGTAGTACTGTACATGTCTGTAATCTCACTATTCATTTTTCAACCTGTGAATGCGGTTTCTTGTTGCTTCTGCCTATAGTCTGCCGTATGTTGTTAAGATTATCAAGACTGTCCCCTTTGACCTTTTAATGATTTCAAATACAAAACGATGGTACATTAAGAGAAAGCAGAAAGAATAAGCCTATCTTCAATTGTGTATACTACTGAATAGACCTTCAGGGATTTCATAGTGTTTTGTTTCACAAAGCGACATTTGAATCCAACACAAGATCTCTCAAAAAACATCAAGGCCACCTACCTATTTAAAAATCTAATTACTCTTGAAAGTGTGGTATCTATCTATCTTTCTAACCAGCAGGAGAAGAGAGAAGAGAAGTGTGACACAGGGACAAACTGTGAATAGGAGATGTTTATGAATTCAGAGAACTTCTAATTGCTACTGTGCCTTGTGAGAACAATTCAATAAACAATTCATAACTGTTTATCAAGCCCAATTAAGTCTTTAATTATCTTCAGCTATAATTATCACCCTAACTTGGCCACTGTAATGAATAGAAACAATTCCATTTGTGGTAAAAAATAATTCCGCAAATCTGTTTGCCTCCCGCCCGTCCCCACTCTCTCAGTCAGTCTATTTACATGTAT